TTCACTGATTTTTTTTTTTTTTTAAGAGACAGGGTCTCTGTTATTGCTCAGGCTGGTTTAGAACTCCCAAGCTTAGGCAATCCACCCATTTTGGCCTCAGGTGTGAGACATGCCTCCTCCTGTGATTTTAAGTTAAACATTTCAGTCTTTGCTTAGAGCAGCAGTTCTCAACCTGTAGGTCGCAACCCCTTTGGACTGTATTAAAGGTTCACAGCATTAGGAAGGTTGAGAACCACTGGCTTAGAGAATAGAAGTCACCTGACTCAGGAACTGCTCCCAGTTCATTTTCTTCCAGCAGATTCCTGGTTTATAGAAACTATTTCCCACTTTAGGGGAAATGTGACCCAGGAACCAGGCAACAGGACCCCTCATCTACATCAGTGTTTTCTAAACTCACCCAATGGTAAGACTCAGCTGGGATTCTTAAAGCTGCTCATGCTGTCTCTCCAGCTTTACCCCTGGGTCTTAACCATTGGGTCAAGGTTTTCAGCAGAGACTCTGAAACTTGTATTTTGGGCAAGTGCCCCCAAACAACAGCTCCCCCTGTTAGGTGCCTTCAACTGACTCATTTAATCCTCACAAGAACCTAGAAGTTAAAGAACTTGCTCAGGATCACAGGGTTTATATTTTTATTTTTGAGACAGAGCCTCAAGCTGTAGCCCTGGGTAGAGTGCTATGGCATCACAGCTCACAGCAACCTTCAAGTCCTGGGCTTAAGCAATTTTCTTGCCTCAACCTCCCAAGTAACTGGGACTACAGGCACCCGCCATAAGGCCCGGCTATTTTTTGGTTGTAGTTGTCATTGTTGTTTGGCAGGCCCAGGCTGGATTTGAACTCACCAGCTCTGCTGTATATGGCTAGTGCCTTAGCTGCTTGAACTATAGGCGTCAAGCCAGGATCACAGGTTCAAAAGATGAAGCCAGAATTCACCCTAGCTACTATGACTGCAGAGACTCCCCAAACCAGAAGGCAGTAGTGGTTTCTCAGGCATAAACAACAGCAAGATTCTGAACTTAAAACAAGGACTTAGAGCAGCAGTTCTCAACCTGTGGGTTGTGACCCCTTTGTAACTATGAAAATACACTGTGGCATTAGGAAGGTTGAGAACCACTGACTTAGAGGCTGGGCACAGTGGCTCACACCTATAATCCCAACACTCTGGAAGGCTGAGACAGGTGGATTGCTTGAGCTCAGGAGTTTGAGACCAGCCTGAGCCAGAGTGAGACCTCATCTCTAAAAACTATACAGGTATTGTGTTGGGCACCTGTAGCCTCAGGAGGCTAAGACAAGAGGATCACTAGAGCCCAGGAGTTGGAGGTTGCTGTGAGCTGTGATGCCATGGCACTCTACAAAGGGCAAGATAGTGAGGCTCTGTCTCAAAAAAAAAAAAAATACTAATGCTTGAATCCCACCCTAGACCAATCAAATCAAAATTGCCAGAGATGGGTGGCTCTAAAAAAATTGCTGACTGCAATGGTTCACACCTGTAATCCCAGCACTGTGGGAGGCTCAGGCAGGAGGATTGCTTGAGTTTGGGAGTCGAGACTTGTCTGAG